TAAAGAGGGCCCAGGGGCAGGCAACACAGAAGATCAAGGGCTTGCAAAGCAAGTCGTACAAGGAGAGGCTGAAAGAGGTAGACATGTTCAGCTTAAGAAAAAGGTGCTTGATAGCAGTCTCCAAATACTTGAAGGGCTGCAATGCCATAAAGAAGAGGGAAAGCACCTTTTCTCTCTTGTTGCAGAGAGAAGGGCGTGGACCAATGGCTTGAAGTTGCAGCAAAGTAAGTTTAGATTGGATATCTGGAAAAAACTTCTTCACTGTTAGAACAGTGAGGCAACAGAATAGACTGCCTAGGGAAGCTATGAGGGGCTCTCTTGAACACTGGCGGTGTTCAAGAAGTGGTTGGACAGGCACTGGTCAGGGATGATCTAGGCGTAGCTATGCCTATGTTCTACTACGGATATTTCTCACGTTTCTGGGCTTTGCTGGTTGTCCCCGGCCACCTCTTTCTGCTGCACGTCAGGGTGTTTTTTAAGCCTCCCCAGAGGCACTGGGTGTTGGCTATAGCCAAGGCTGGGGACTTTGACAGGAGTGTGCCAATGCTCCTGCTGGAATGAAAGCCAGAGGTTCCTGGCTAGAGGATCTTGGCTACTCCACTCTGGGTCAAATCGGTCTCCATACCTGGGGTCAGGAAGGAATTTTACCCCGTGGTCAGACTGGTATGGACTGTCAGAGTTTTTACCTTCCTCTGTAGTGAAGGACATGGCCAGGTTTTACCAGAACCTCACTCCTCTCATGTTAGACACCTGCTTCAAATGTCTGTGAACCAATTTAGGCTGGACATTTTTTATCACTTTGTTCTCATGCCAACATTATCTTTTAGTCCAAATAGCTCTTCCTCCCTTCTGGTGTTGAAACCTCTGATGGATTTCTAAAGAGCTAGCCCTTCTTTGCCTTCTATTCTGCTAGGCTAAATAAAGCCAAGCTTTTGAAAGGATACAGTTCAAGGGGCAAAGGCAGGTATTACAGTCATTTCAAGAGTGAGGTATAAATGGACACAGAAAAAACCTTTGTATTTGAAGCTCCAACTGCTTCTTTAAATAATCAGTTGCATCATCTCCAGTATGAAGTCGAAGAATATAGCAGGGGCAATCTTTTCAATATGTATACATACTTAATAGCATTGCCAAATCTAGCAATTCTTTTTCTCATAAGTGTCATGTTAGGTTATGTTTTTTTAAAGCTTCAGTACCCACACTCAGACCCAGAGAGAAAAGGTGCTTTCCTTCTTCTTTATGGCAGCCCTTCAAACATTTGAAGATTGTTATGTCCTCACTTAAGCACCTTTTCCTTAAACTGAACATGTCTAGCTCCTTCAGCCTCTCCTCATATGACTTCTTTTCCAAGCTCTTGATCTTTTTTATTGCCAGCCTCTCTAACTTCTCCACATCCTTTTTAAAATGTGGAGCCCAAAACTGCACACAGTACTCCAGATGAGGCCTAATCAGTGCATGTAGAGGCTCTATTAGCCTCCGTATCTTGCGCCTAATACTTCTATTGATGCAGCCCAAAACCTTATTTGCCTTTTGTGCAGATGCATTGCACTGCAGCCTCATATTGAGTCTATGAACTACTTCTCCACAGTGCTGCCATCCAGCAAGGTATCACCTATTTTATATCTGTGTTTTTGATTATTCCTCTTGAGGTGTACCATCTTGCATGTGTCTACACTGAACTTAATCCTGTTAGTTCTACCCCAAATTTACAATCTATTGAGAGCCTTCTGAACTGCACTCGCATCCTCCAGTATGTTCGCAGTCCTTCCCAGTTTGATGCTGTCTGTAAATCTGTTCAAGAGCGTGACTCACAACTGTGTACACTTATGGCTAGCGAGATTGACAAGAGCATGATGGAGCACTGATTCCTCAGACAGGTCAGGTACTATTGTCACAAACAATAATACAATATTAAACATCTATTTTACTATCTTCAGTAGGGGTTTTTCTCCTCTGAGGCTGTAATAAGTTAATAATCTCTTTAAAACAGAATTAAAGGCTGTTATGTTGACAGATGAAGTCCAGCCTGATAGTTTGGCACTTGGCAAGCTGCCAAGGGAGACCTAGGTTTCATTTTCCAATCCCAGTTCAATGCGATTGAAGGGCTCCTCAAAAGATTCTTTTAGAAGCTCAGTATGTAACATACCAGATGATTAAAGAGCAGAAACTGGAGGTCTCATTGAGCTCATGTTCTGCAGCAAAAGGACAAAAGCAACCCAACATTCAAAGGAAGGGTAGAGTCTAAAATCACAACAGACTAGTAAGCAAGCTTGAGCTTGCTCACACTGGAGACTTGGGCCCCTGGCACACACTTAAGATGCGATTAAACTGTTAATCACATCTTGGGTTGTTACCTGGCCACACATTAATGCAATTAATAGTGTGATAAAACAAGGAATAAGTCATAAAGTTATTGACCAAACAGTGAGTAGTAACTCTGTGGCTGGTAGCCATCACATCATTAATTGAATGTGTGGCCAGACTGGGGCTCCCAGCCACAGGGGCAGGTACACCCCATGGCTGGAAGCACCATCAGCTGATCTAGGCTCCCAGCTGCATGATGCACCCTTACAGCTGGAAGCCCATCAGCTGTTGGCTCCCAGTCTTGGGGGTACATGATGCACCATCAGCCAACTGGCCTCCCAGACACAGGAGCTTGCTACTTGCCAGGACAGGTGGAGTATGGGAACATGACCCTGTGCACCATCAGTAAGGCATGATGGGATCTCTGGGTGGATTCCACAATCATACCTCCTGCTATGCACATGAGGCATGGCAGAAAATGGAACTGTGGGAATCCCACATCAGATCCCATTGCACCTTCACCTACACATCTGCCAGGGCCTTAGGCTGGAAAGTCAACTTAGTAAGAGGGAGAGGCCAGATGTTTTCCTGTGTGTCACACTGCCCCTGCATATCCAAGACACATCAAAGGCTGTTAACCTTGAGAGAACAGCAAAGACCCATTTTGCCTGAGAAAATCAGGATAGAGTTTTCTTTATGCCTTAATTTACTGAGTCTATTTATATTCATGCTAACCAAAGGACTGCTGGCATTGTTTTCTTTTAAGTATTGTACACAGAGTGGTTAAGAGATGGGCCAAGATGTGTGATAAGCACTGGTAAGAGCAGATGAGCCTCTTCTGTGACTCCATTCTCTCCTTTGAAATGGACTCTAATGCCATCATTCATAGATTTCTAACAATTTATTTTCACACTTTCTTTAACTGTGCCATCCCAAGCAAAACTGTGGGCCATTTACCATGCTGAACCAGTTTATTCTCAATTGCACAAGTGCCAAGGGATAACTGTGATGGATGAATTTTAAAAATGTATCATCTTGAAAACGGTGAAGAGGGATTCAGCATCTTCGATTAGAAAGAATAGAAAACAGGCAAAAAATGAAAAACACAATATTAGGATATTTTAAGTGTGTTATCTTTCCATAAATTTAGCCATTTGGCAATGTACTAATCTCTTTTGTTGTCATTTACATAACAATATTAGCCAACTTAGGCACTTCTTTACCCATATGCTATACAAGCATGTAGAGCAAGAGAAAGTTCATGCTCCGAAGAGTTGATAGATTAAATACAGAATACAGGAAGAGAATAAGAGAAAGGAAGCTTCAACATTACCTCTATTTCACAAATGGGGAACTGAGGCACAGAGATTTTGTGACTTTCCCAAGGTCACCCAGAAAATCTTATGACAGAAACAGGAACTGAACGCAGAGATGCTAAGTCACAGTCTCTTGCTTTAGCTAAAAAGCTAGTCTTCCTTCCACCTGAGCTAGCTGAAATCCATACTCAAAGTTTAATCATTAGCAATGAATTCCAACAAGACTGAAATAGCAAGGATGCCTCTAAAAACAATCCACAGCCTTTATTTCCCCATGAACCCCGCAGAAAGAGACCTAGTTTTAGCAGGGCTGATACGGCAGAGTGAATTATGGCATCTCACAACAGTCTAGATTAGAGTTTACACTGGTGTCTGCATCTGTCAGGAAAGGTAACAATCACCAGCAGCATTGTGACCCAAATGTCCCTTTTTGTGCTTCGTTTTGGCCCAATTAGTCCTGCTGTTTTAATAATCCTACTTACTTATTTTATATCCCAGCTTTTCAGCATGAATCCTCTTAGACATGAACTGCCCTTCAATCAATGCTCGTATCTCCACTTCCTTTGGAAAGTCTGGAACCTGTATCAAAGGAGAATTGCATTAAATTAACATGCACTTTATGTAGTATACACCAACAGGTTGGAGCTGAGTTAAAAAAAACAAAACAGATTTATAGTTCATTATCCTTGGCTTCACCCTGAAGCCTGCACTCGCAACTCAACCCCTATTCTTCAATCACATACACAGAAAACTCCCAGAGACTCACGACAGAAAGCATACAACCTATAACCTTGGCACTGTTGGCAAATCCTTCAAGCCCAAAATCAATGCACGATGGGGAATCTTTCTAATACCAGTTGTAAATTCTGTGTTTATTCCTCAGCCCCAAGGGCAACTTACGAAACTCATCTCAGGAATATTATCTCCCTTTGGGATTGTTTAGAAATAATTCAGATGCGCTAGGCAATGCCAACAAAGAAAAAGGGCTTAGATTTGTACTTTTGTTTAAGGGGTGGAGGGAGAATCTTTAATCTTGAGACTACATTTTTCACCGCCTACCATTTGAACAACATTAAAAATCAACTATGCAGCTGCAAATCAAAAAGTATTTAAGAGACTACTGGTGAGGTTATAAATACAGGACAGTATCAATCTCTCTTTATCCACCTCTCAGAATTTTCAGTTGACTAAGGCTCATGCATATCCGTTGAGTTTCAGTACCACCTTTCCTGATTAACCTAATAATCCAGTCTATGAAACAACACTCACTGCCCAAGAGAGAGGAACAGGATATGCAGATGTTTCTTTCCATCAAACTGTCATTTGTCCAAGGAACTGTCACTGCAATTTGATTTGATCTTCTGTTTCATGACAAGCCACCCACTGCTTTCTGATCACCTACAGCAGCTTTATCAAACTCACCTTGTGCCCAGGCCAGATCTGGACTACAGGCCTCCTCACAGGCTGGATCTGTGGCAAGCACTGTACTGGCAATGCCAACACAAGAGCCAGTGGGCCAAGCAGCCATAGGACACGTGGGGCTCTGTAGGCATAGCCCTCACTCTCCGTCTGCTGCCAACAATTATGTCCACTGGGATCACACCCACCACTAGCTACACCCCAAAACTCCCTGGCCTACTAGTAACCTAGCAGGTGGAGGGAGCAGCTCCACTAGCTGAAACCAGCTGGTGGACCATATATTCGATACCCCTGACCTACACATTCACAAGAAGGCAGAACGCATTCTTTACTCTGTAGGCCTAAGAGAAAGCAAAACTGCAACCTATCCAAACCTCGGCAATTATTTGCAATTCATTCATATCCCTCCGATAGCTATACCCCTGAATGTATGTAACCTGGCGACTTCAACATGTGAGACCCGAGGAAAAACGTCCTGCATTCAAAAGCTCGTCTAATTACCCAGCTAAACAGTTGGTTCAATAAAAGAGCTCACCCTAAGAAATCCTTACCTCTGGCATAATTCCTGGGTCAACATGGCTACAACATCACTCTTATGCTACCGTCACGTACACATATACGCTCTATAAATTGATGATGGGTTTGTTTGTGCCCATAGAAATAGATGTCAGGGTAGGAAAACACCGACTTTCATACTTAGAGGTGGCAACAACAACTGTTAATCTACTTCTTGATAGTTTCCGCTTCTTGACAACTCTCACAGTCACGC